GTTGCTGAGGGCTTTCCATTCCTATTTCCTGCCCCTCAGGTTTCCATGGACAAGCTTGTGAGATACTCCCCTTGTTTTAAGCGAGATTTTTTTTTTTTTTTGCCTGACATCATGAACCCCTCAACAGTATCTTTTCAGTCTTACATCCCATTACTTCCCAAACCCTTTACTCATTGAAACTGGGTTGCCTGTTTTTTTTTACTCATTGAAACTGGGTTGCCTGTTTTTTTTTCTTTCCCCCAACCTCCTGTGCCTTCTCATTTTTGTCTTCCTCTCGCTCTCACCATGTGTTCTGTGATCTCCCAACTGAATATCCTAATGTCTCCTACCCTCTAAAGCCTTCCCCTGAGTGCTCACAACATTGTCACTGTCCCTTCCTCAGGGCATTGCACTTACATGTCATTTATATTCTAGTCACCTTTTATCTGAGCTCTGATCACCCTATCCCTCCTTCATGCCTCTATCTGACACATCAACTGCTTGCTAAGTGAATGCATGGGACTTTAATAAATTCAGCAAGATTCATTGGAAAACACATTTAATTTCAAAGTAAACAAAGATGTTTGTACATTAAAGTGTTTAATTAGTGAAACAATTATTATCAGTGTAACAAGCTGAAAAATACAGCAACTTGGTACAAGACTGAGGTAACAAAATACTTCACCAAAAATCTAAAGAATCCCACAGAGGGTTGATGTTCAGTGGTTATTGCGGGTGAGACAATTCACAAGAATTAGAGAAAGTCCTTACACAACTGCATGCAGGGGTCTGCTGGAAGAAACGACAGCCCAGGAGAGTGCAACAGATTAAACAAGAAACAAAATGTAGAAACCGATTTTCAACTTACTTTGAAGAATACGTAAGAAATTGAAAACTACTCTCTATGCAACATTTTGAATGCTAAGTGGAAAACCATGCATTTTGGCACAAAATTTATTAAAGGTTATACTATACTAATAATGACTACTGTTTCATTACTGAATGGTCAAGTCGTTCAGAAACGGTTAAAGAGATTAATGGTTATAACATGGACAGGTGATCCATCGTGCTGCTGCTGTGAACAGGAATTTCGGGGCTGTCCACGGCAAACAAGGCTTGTGCAGCACAGGGCTGCAAGTGGTCTAAAGTTCATGGTACGAGTTCTTAACACCCAGGAAAATGCAGCTCTTGCACTAGCTCATGCTGTACTTTTATTTATCATTGAAATGGTAATTTTAAAAACTGACTTAGGAAAAATACTGTGAACATTCTGACCCTGCTCTCTCATTCCATCCTGGAGTCCTTGGTGTACCCAACTACAGGTCTAGCTCTGTGCCTGGCCTTTCTGGGTCAACCCAGCCCCTAGGACAGGGATCTAGTCCTCACTGCGAATGAACTTGCACATCAAGATGCTATTCAGTTTGCAGAGTCTTGTGAAGGCTTTCTGGAGGAATGTGTGCACAGGATTTGTACTCAGGCTAGGAGAGAGGCTAGGTGTTACCAGAGGAGATGCATGTAGGAGGGATTATTTGTTCATTGGGTGGCAGCTCCAAGAGGGCGGGGATTGGGTCTGTTTTTCAGCCATTTTTATCTCCAGTAGAGCCTGGCACATGGGAAGCACTCATTACAAATGTGAATGAATCAATTGATGGTTTTGTGCAGAGCATCTTTTATTTCAAAGGAACTCTTGTAGTGTTTTTGTTTGTTTAATATGAAGTTACTCAACATGTCAATATGATGTGAGACTGATTAAAGTCATTTCTGGAGTCAAAAAAATGCAGCGTTCACAAGCATTAGCAATGTGGGCGGAAAACTCTGAACTCAACCCGTGGAATGAAAATGGACCTCGCTTGCAAATGGCTTCCCATTTTTCACTTTTAAAATGGCATCCTAAAAGACACATCTCTTGGGCTTAGAAGGTGGGGGGAATATGAAAGAAGTATTGGCCATCTTAGTAAGAACAACATGCTTTATAAATTCAGTTGGCAAGAGGGTGGGTTGTTTCCCAAGAAGAATCCTGCGAGTATCTTCTTCCTCAGGTTCCAGTCCGACAGGGGGATGCATGGGCTTCTATGTAGGGGAAAGAAGGGAGGCCACTCTCACTCGGAACAATATTCCTACTGCTCTCCACTAAATCAATTCTCCATGAAGTATTTCAGTTGCCACAATGCACTTGCCTGACCTTTAGTTACAAAATGATTCAACTGTAAGGGGTGAAAGAGTTATTCCAAGGGAGTGATGAGTGAGCTGACCTTGGGACATCACAATGATACTAGCTGCCTACTCCACTGTTTGTAGACAGCATTCTACAATTTTCATTTTGGGGTGCCATGATCTGTTTACTTAAAGATATAGCATATGCAAGGTATTTCACCTTTAATGGTTTCACAAATATTTGTGCACTGTGGACAGTTTAAAGAGCAAAAGACAGAAATGTTTCCCTCCAGGGTGAGAATCCACTCATAGACTTTCCCTCTTTGTGGCTTGTGCCTAGCCTCCTTACCTGCAGCCTGAAGGACAAACCAACACCAGAGACGATACTCAGCACTTAACTCACGCGCTTGGCCCCGAGTCCCTCCTTGGAGGGCCGAGTACATTTCTGCTTCGTCTCTAGGACTCTTTTGGTGTGTTCAGGGTTCTTCTTAGGTTCCATGAGGCCTTTTCCAACAGTCTAAACAGATTCTTCAAAAGTCCAAGCTAAGAATTTTTCTGGGAGGGGATGTGGGATCAGGCTGAATGCATGAGAATTCTTTGAAAAGAACTGCAATTGTGCTATTCAAATTAGGTTTAGAAGAAAATATTTGGGAAAGGTAAGTCTGTAAAGGGTAGAAAATCATCTGATTTAGTAGAGCCCCAAATTCTGAGGTTTTTGGATTGGTATCCATCATATTTTATGTGACAGAAACCAGGACAGTTTGAAGAGTAGAGAAATCCAAGGAAAATAAGTAGCAGATGTTCCAGTCTTGCATTTTCATTCACATTTAAGACTTTTAAAAAATTTATATGCAGAATGACTTTCAATGTAGGTTAAAGTGTTAACACTATATGGTTCTGGTCAGAGGTTACTGGGAGTATTTGGCATTTTCATTCTGCCTCTAGATGCTCATTATTATAAGTCATTGGTGCAAATTAACCACACGCATTCTGACACCAGCTATGGGTATGTGTACAAAGCACCCATGGCCAAGGTGTGATGGCATCGACCTTACCATCTGAAGGTTCTCCCAGTACTCCAGTCTTTGTTCAAAAGCAGAGTTACTGAGCACAGTAAGGTTTAGCCACAAAATATTGCCTTGGTAACAACTACTTTCCACACCAATTCATTCAAGTGTTCATAAAAGTTGTCATCATTTGAACAGCATACAGCGGTGGGTCCTTTGGTAGTTTTTCAAATGACCTGTTACCAGTTTACTGGTTTAGATGTTATTTTGAAGCATCTTGTTCAGAAACTCTTAAGGGTAGTTTGATGCCCAATCAGTATGAGCTCTGAAACCATGATGGCTACAAGGACCCCAGAAAAGTAGTCTCTCTCAGAAAACTAAGAGTTTCCTTCTCAGAATTAGGACCCTTGAATTAAAAAGAGAGGGAAAGTAGCTATGATAATAGAGTAATTCATCATTTTGAGTAAAAATGTATCTGTGCAAAATAAAAGTCACTTTAAGATAATGACAAGAGGTAACAGATAAAGGACGTTGTTCATGTGGAGAGCTCTTAACTGAATATAGAGCTTGGACGGTTTACTCCCCAGGGCTTTGCTGTCTCGTCACTGTGGTCATCAACAATTGTGCCCTTGGACTTGGATGATGGAGAATTTGCTGGTGACTATGTTTGGAGCATGTAGGGGACAAGACAGGGGGAGCTTAAGGCCTCAGTGTCACTCAGCTCCCCAGCATTATTAGGATTCCCCGTGGGCCCTGCCCTGGCAGTGGAAGCAAATGCGTGAGATGATGGGAGCAAAAATCTTGCCCTGCAGGGAGAGACTAGTACAAAGTAGCTACTGTACAGGCATTCACTGTGTGCCTGGTGACCTCTCAGCTGTGCCAGATGGAGCTGGAGAAAATGCAACAACTTCCCATTCTCACATGGTGGGAAGGGGTGAGAAGAGAAGGGGCTTCAGACCCTGTCTGGGAGAGGAGATGGGAGGAAGCAAGCAGGCCAGTGGCCCAGTCCACAGTCCTGAAGCTGGGCCCTGTCGTGGAAGGGCTGACAGCAACAAGGCCTAGAAGGGACCCAGGGGGCCCAGGGAGCAGGCCTTCCAGATGAATAGCACCCATAGGAACAGAAAACAAGACACAATTTAAGGCATTATTTGTTTACAGTAAAAGAACACAAGGGATCCTTAACACAGAAGTAATCTGGGCTCTCACTCTGACCTTCCTTGGTGGACAAGGGTGTAACTTAAGGTGAAAGCAGGGCCTCAATGCCAATGAAGTGTGTGATGTCACAAGTCTTGTGCCAAAATGCATGTTTCTCAGAGCTCACACTCGCTCGCTCGCACGCACACATATACAGCACGCACACGCAGAGGACGCTTCGAGGGTTGTACAAAATCTGAGGCAGCCCTGTGGGCGAGCAATCCCGTGCACTTGGGGTGTAAAAAGCCTGTTCCACAGCCTCTTCCTCCTCTCCGGCCCCTCATGCAGGTGAACACTGTCCACTCTTTTGTGCAGAAGAAAGCACTGAGAACCCAACATGGGCCAAATGCTGTCTAGTCGCAGAAGTAGCTCGTGGACGAGGGCCCAGAGAAGGAGAGTGTAGCTTGGGGTCCAACCACGGCCCTGCGAGGTGGTGCTGCAGAGTGAGTGTCATGAGAGTCGCCAGGGGTTGATAAGTGGATCCCGCACCAGAGGAGGCCTCTGGGACTGGGAGGCCACAGACCGCGTCCCCTTGAGTCTCAGCAGCTGTGACTTTCCCAGCAGCCTGGCCAACAGCCTGTGCCCAGGGCGTGTTCTCCTCCACCAGTTCCGGGCTGGGGAATCCCAGAAGCCTTTGAAGTAAGTCATGCCAAGCCCCGCAGAGACTTATTCAAATGACATAAGGTTTGCAGGTACCTAGAAAAGAAAGCTCAGCCTCTTGTCAAAGTTTTACCTTTTGAAAGGGGGCAGTGGTGGTCCCTAGGGGAAGAGGCCAGACCCTTCTCAGTTAGTCTGTGAATGAGCAGCTCAGGTGGAGAGAGGGCACAATAATTACAATAATCACCATTTGTTCAGTGACCGCTGTGTGCCAGGCACAGTCCTGAGCACTTCAAAGGCCTCACAACAACCCCATGAGGCAGGTGCTGGAATGATCCCCATTATGAAGGTGAAGAAACTAAGGCTTAGAGAGATTAAGTGCACAGTGAATAAGTGGCTGTGCTGAGACACCAGACCACTCTCACCCACTGCCCTCTGAGCAAAATAAATCTGCACAGGAGCAGAGCATGTGCCTCTGGAGAGGGGACCAGGAGAGTGGGGTCGCAGTTAGGGGATGGCAGGGACTGGCAAATGGAAGCACAGGAGAAGGAGGACGTTTGAGGATATTGGGAACCCAAAGACGTTCCCATAGCTATGCCCCAGAGCTGCTGCCTGGATAAGACCCCAGTGCCCTTTATGGTGTCCTTTATGGTGTACGTGTAGGGGAGACTACAGCCCCAAGGGCAGCCTGCTTCTCCCTCCCTTCAAAATGGCCAACACATCCCCAGCCCCAGCCCTCTTTGCCTACTACTGCCCTGGGCTCTAGATTTGATTTAGAAGCAATTTAATCAAAACCAAATCCATCTTGGCATCAATTTGGTCAAAGTGATGAACTGGAAAAAATGTATCTCCTTGTTAGGAAACAGTTACAAGAATGGTCACAGCATCAGGGTTCAAAATAGCAAAAAGCAGGAAACCATTCTTGGCATCATGGACAGAACTGATGAAAAACAAAACAGTAAAAATAAATGAATGAAGCTACAACATGAATTAACACAGATGAATTTTAGGGACGCACTGCAGGAGAAAAGCAAGTCACAGAAGAAAATATATAGTTATGGTTTTGTTTCTAAAAAAATAATAGTAAAAAACACACACCAGAGATACATCACACATTGAGTAGGGAGTCTCATACCTGTGCTAAGATGATAAGGGAAAACAAAAGGACAAACACACAAATCAGGAGTGGTTAGTGGGTGGCAGAGAGGGGGGATTAGGGAGGGGCACCTGAGGGAGAGAAGGAGCTCTGGTGCACAGTGGCTAAGCGCTTGGTTCCTAACCTTGGTTCCCTGTTAAGATTTAGAGCCTCGGAAACCCTATAGAGCTCCCCTACTCCGCCCTATAGGCTCTCTCTGAGTCAGAATCGACTCAAAGGCAATGGGTTTTTGGGTCCTGTGGGAGTGGGCTCCAAGGCCGTGGGAGGTCCAGCTTAGGCAAAGTGGTGGGTGGGTGAGTGCATTTTTATTTTTCACTGCTGCTGTTTACACCTTACATGTTTACACACGTTATAAATACTGTCTTAGTGTATTCAGTGTTAAAAACAATTCTTAAAATTGCAATTCCACAAAGCAGAAATGCATCTTCTCAGTCACTGTACAGATGCATTTCTGTAACACTCTTCATTACATCTGCCTTGGATTCCATCACACACCGTGCTGTGATTTATCTAAGTAATCTTCTGCTGTTGAGTATTTCGGTTGTTGTCAACTTTTTATTATTACATATAGCACGGAATAGGAATATTTGGTTGAGTAAATTAGAAATAAAAAGTAGAAAAAGTAAGATATCTCCTCCCTTTGGTCTGAAAATTGGGCAAAACTATTTAAAATTTGCAAAACCTCCTTTTGGCTCTGTATTTGTCAATTCATGAAATTCCATCCATTTCTCCTTCTGATCAAATACCAGCTCTGCCAAACTGGTTTGACCCAGTCACCTTCTATCTGTTGCAGAGCTGCTGGCACCCTCTGACTGCTTCCCCAGAGAGGGACAATGGTGGCTTCTTGCTCAGGGCTTCCACCCCTGCTTCTTGTCAGGACCCATCCAGATACCAGCATTAGGAACAGGGCGGAGACCAAGGTCCTGCCTGTCTCCCTGCTGGTGAGGGGCAGTGCTCCTTCATTAGACAGCTCCAAGCAGCCCCCCACAGCCATCTCCCACCCCCACCAACCTGGAGGCCCACCTCATGGCTCACAGGCCCTGTTAAACCTAGAGCCACCCTAGCCTCCTGTTCATAGGTTGCAGGGGCCATCTGAGTGTGGCAGGTGAGCTCCAGTGTGCTGTGCTCTTAGAAGGCGGCACTCAGAGCTAACAAGGGGCCCCAGACAGTGTGGCCAGTGCAGAGGAGGACAGGATGCTTGTCCTCTAGACACCTGAGGTGGCACCAGCCTTTGTTTAAGCCTCAATGCAATGTTCACATTAGATTACCTGGAGATGACTGCTGACCAAAGCCTCTTGTCTTTCGATCATGCAGATGGGCAAATACATTTGTTTAATATAAAAAGTATGTATATAAGCACTCTGGAAACTACATAAGTATAATTTCTTACAGAAGTATACAGTTTTTCATGTATCATTTTAGAAATTTTACATGCATATGCAAACATACATATAATAAATATGCATATGCATCTTAATACAAATGAGATCATCCTTTACATACATTTTATATTTTACTTTTGTATTAATATCTTGGAGATTCTTTCTGGTTATCATACACAGATCTAACTCAATCTCTTTAATGGCTCTTAAGTGTTGCACCATAGGGACCTAGTAATGGTCACTGAAGTGGTTTCCAGGGTTATTTCTATCAAGAACAATGCTGCAGTGAACATTCTTAAATCAACATCTTTTGTATGTGTGTGGGTGAATCCCTACGACAAATTCCAGGGACTCGACTGCAATTTATTTTAAGCCTCCCTGTGTTACCTCAAGTTTGTCCCTGTACTGGTCTTATCCTATAGTTCAAGGATTTTCTGGATCCTGATTTTGTTATCCAACCTGTTCATTCTGCTTTCTAGCTGGTCACAGATGTCATCATGCATGTAACAGATGGAAATCTAAACAGGGCCTCGCTGAGTACAGAGTGCTAGGACAAGCCACTAGAGACTTCCCTCCAATTCACAAGAACCTCTCTAAGAGGCTATAAAGTCTGTGAAACTGACACCGCTGAAGTCCCTACACTCCCAGATCCAAAAGCCAGTGTGGACTTGCTTTTACTGAGGTTCCCTCAGCCTCTGAGGAGCTGCCTGTAGTGAGATGGCTTATCTTACACTCTCAGCTGCTACATTTATTCCCTGCCCTGGGCCCTGGTGCTCTCCTTAGACTGGCTGAGGAGGGGGACCCAACTTCCCCAGCTCCACCTCTGGCTGCTCCCTGTGGAACATGGACATGGGTACTTATGGATAGGAGGCATGACAGTGCCACCAGGAGCTCGAGTGCTGCCCACCTGCCCACCCTGGGGGCAGGACGGTCCGGCCTGTCCTCCAGTGGCGCTCAGGGTGGAGGCGGCCACTTCTCTCACAAGCCTGGACAGCCGTGGCTGTGCTTCCGGGACTTAGCTCAACTCCAGGAACCTGAGCACACCAAGGGGTCCCAAGGAAGTATGAGGCAGGGAGGCTCAGTGGACAAGTCCAGAGTCAGGGGTCAGGCAGAAATGGGTTAGATCCTCCTACTTACCAACTGGGATTGTACACAAGTATCTGCCACTTTCTGAGCCCCGGTGTCCTCAATGTCAAATGCAGAGAGTAAGAGAACCTACCTCATGGATGTTGTGAGGATGTGGCTTATTCTCTTATGTAAAGCATTTAGCATAATGTCTGGTGCCAGGGAATGGGTGGGAGTAGATGGGTAGGAAGACTACATTCCAGAGGGGGCCACATCAATACAAATCCTACTGGTTCCAACAGCTAATCTGAAACCCCTTCCTTCATCAGTAGCCTTGCTGGGCACATGGTTAGCTCTCAATAAATGAGCTATTATTATTACTCCTAAGGGTTGTATGGGCTACAAGGCCCTTTCGTCAGTTTGGAGTGTTCCCATGACAGCCCCTCTGGGGGTGACAGTCTAAATCAATACTGCAGCCTGACCCTTGGGGTGACAGCACAGCTGCCCGCCTAACTGTTCCACGATGACTGCTTTTGTGGTGTTTCCTTTGGTGGGAAAAGCACAGGGACAAGAGTCAAAGTTCTGGGCTGAAGCTGGGCTTAGTTCTAAGCTGAGCAGGGGGTGCTTTGTCTCATGGAAAAAGGCTGATCAAAAGAGTGGCTGAGAGCATTGCTGGTGGGCTCTGAGGGGTAAGCAGGGAGCCCAGCTTTCTAAAGACCTTTAGTCCCAAGGGTGGGAGAAGGTGTTTCAGATGACAAGCAGGATTTTGGTGACTTTACCTGAGGCCTGTTGCTTTTACATGCATCATCCAAATGCTTGTGCCACAGTATTGCATGAAACCGGGAACCAGTCTGAAACTTGTAAACATTGCCTGATGGGTAAAGAAACCTTTGGTTAAGAGGAGTGTCACGCAGAAGGATCAGCCTGGGGCTAGATGTGAAGATAACATGAATATGGGTAACTAAGGAAGACTCCTTGTTCGCAGTCTGCAGAGGAGGCAGCTTTGTGCACTCCAGGGCTTTCTCTTGGATCAGGGGCACAGCCATTTTGGAGGCCATGCGTGCCTCTGGCAGTCTGGTAAGGCTTGTGGATCCCTTTGCAGAATAATGTTTTCAAATGCATAGAATAAAATACAAAAGAAATAATATTGAAATATAGCTATGTAATTATATACATGCTTTCTATGGATAATAATTAGGTCTAGTGGCAGGTCTGATTCGATACTAAAATTTGGAAGTAACGAGTATAAATGATATTTTGAGGTATCTGCAACAATATGTGATAAGAAAACACTGTGATTTCTCTTGAAGATAAAAATCAGACACTGGTAATATTCTTAAAGTTCAATACTTACAACCGTAACTGAAGTAGTTACAGGCTACTGAAAACAAAGATACCATTCTTTCCCATTCAAATTCTTGGTCCTTTTGAATTCTATCCACAGACACTGCCTATCCTGGACACTTCCATCTGCTAGAAACCAAACACCAAACCCACTGCCATCAAGTTGATTCCGATTCATATTAGGGACAATGTTTTCCTGCGGGCTAAAGCCCAAGAACAGCAGCCTGTGGTCCCTTTGGCCACAGGGTTTTTAAGTCAAGCTCATGTAGGCAAGGCCTTAACTTCCTAAAGAAACCACCTCTCATCTTGGCCCAGAGTGTCAAGGAATACACTCAAAACAGTAACCAACTGAGGTCACACTACTGATAGTATTTGGGTTAAATCACCCAGACATTGAGTGGAGAACTTGACAATCTACCTCTCCTTCCCATTCCCAAAGCTCTTGGAAGCAGACTGCCATCTCTGTAGTCCTTTTGTTTCTTTGCTTCCCAGCTAAGAACATGAGAGCCTTGACACTCCAAGTATGGCCTGTTGACCAGTAGCATCACCTAGGTGCTTGTTAGAAATGCAGAATCTTGTTCCTGCCTCAGATTTATTAAATCCAAATCTGTAGTTTAACAAGACCCTCAGGTGATTTGTATATACCCGAACCCTGCATTAGAATATTCCTGTTAAGATGTGAAGATGACTGGGGACATTACAACCCCAGTAAGTTTGCTTGGCTGCAACCAACATCTAGGCATTTTTTTTTTTGATATGGCACGGGCTACAGAGAAGTCTACCAAAAAAAAAAAAAAAAAAAAAAAGATGGCCTATTCTGAACATCAATGAAGATGAGGCTTCTGGACAAGGTGGTACCCAGAACCTCTCCTTTCTCCTAGCATGGTCATGGAGAAAGGATAGAATCTGGAGGAACTGGAAGATGGCTGGGGGAAATTCCTATAAAGTTGGAGCTTATATAAATTCTTTGTGAAAGGGTTTTTCCGAGTTGACCTTTGACAGGGACTCTGCCAGACGCTCATGGCACAGGCAATGTCAAGGGTTTCCTAAAATCCCCCAAGCCACATCTAGTCACTTCATCACCAGCATAAATTTATTCCAAGACCCCAAGACTATAGTTTCAAGGGTGAGGAGCCCCAGTAGCCTTTGGAAAGACCACAAAGAGTTTCCTACTGCTGTGTGCCAGCACTGCACACTGGACATGCTGACCATCATCTAAGTAGCTTTCGTGAAGTAGTAAGGGGACTCTGAGAACATCAGAACCTAAAGCAAAGGGAAAATATCAGCCGATTCTAGTATTTCAAACTGCATCATTAGTAGAAGAGAAAAAAGAAGCAGAGAATGCGTAGGTGCTGGCCTGCTGCCTACCTTTGTCAGGGTTGTTCAGCTGGAAGATATCCGGGTGCTCAGGGTCATCGGGCAGCTGCACCATCCAGCCCGTAATGGAGACCTTTTTGCCAGGCGTGGATTTATACTGCAAGAGAGCAGAAACACATCTGGGAGGCCAGAGCCCACACCCTCTTTGTGTTTCCCCTCTACAGGAAGGCAGACTTGGGCCAGACAAGACTTCCCTCCCACATAATGACCACACACCTCCCTTTCCTGCAGCTCCCAGAGGTGCCTTTCAGACCCAGAACTTACATGTTTTCTGTCTGTGCCCCGTAAGGACTTGGCTCCGTAGTAGAGGAGGGTGGATCCTGAGAGTATGACCCAATACCTGGTCCACGAGGACAGCTACAGAGGAAGGGGAGGTAGAATGATAAATAAGGCTGAGGGTGGTGGGGATGGGTGTCACCCCGGCTGCCTGGTTACAGACCTAGCTATATGGGTGGAAGGGTGCCCAGCCCTCATCATGGCAGTGCAGGCCTCAACTCTTCTCTGGCCCTCCACCACCCCTTCTCAATGCTACTTCTACCACAGGCCACTCTTCACAGAGAGCCTTTGTTTTCCCCCACCCTTTAGAAGGCGGTGTCAGGGCATAATTCCTGTGTGCAGGTGACCTGACCCAAGAATGTCCCGGGGAAAAACATTTTTAAAACATAGCCATGAAAACCTATAGCCTATAAGAACCAAAATGTCTGCAATAAGGTGCTCTGGCTGAGACTGAATGCCAACATTTTTGAAGTCTTTATGGTTGGACATGGGAAAACTCCTGTCCATGGAAAAACCCTGCAAAGCTGCAGGCACTGTTTCTATTTCTCTAGAGGTGAAGGCTGGACTTCCCCATTCAGAGGGCTCTGCTCCTCAGTTTGGGGTAAATCACTTCAATGGGCATTCTGGTAACGCAAAGGTGCAGCAAGTATCCCATCCTGGGAGTGAAAGCTTAAGTCCACAAGGAGCAAACTGCTCTGCATCGCAGTGCACAAGGCTGTCTTCATGCTTGATGGAGGAGCAGGGCTGCAGATGGGGACAGCAGCACCTTTCAGATTTCTTGACTGACACCCACAGGAAGAAATGTATTTTGTATCACAACTCAGCACACATATGTGTATATATGTAGAAGCGAGAAAATTTTCATGAACAATACTTACCTTTTACTATGTATATAGGGTCGCTAAGAGTCAGAATTGACTCAGTGGCAACGGGCTTTTTCTTTCTTTTTGGTTTACGTATAATGAACTCCTTATTTCCTTTCCATTGAGTCCATTTTGCATTATTTGATTCAAAAATACTGGTCATGACCCACTGGATTGAGTTAATCACTAACTATAGCATAATTAACTAACAACCAGCATTTGGGAAGACACTGTTTTAAGAAAACTTCCTCTCTTTGGCCTTGGAATGACTGAGGCCTGGACTCTGGGTAAGGCAGAGAAGCACTCAGGTCTTTCCAACAGGGTAGCAAGCTAGATACTGAGCTCCATGTCAGAGGATGCTTTGTGACACTCTGGATTCAGGTGACAGAGTAAGGCCCGGAGCTGGTGTAAAGATTCCTCCTCACCCACAAGCTGCCAGCACCTGAAGACAGGGGGCTTTAAGAGCATCTGGAGGTGATAGCAGGCAAGGACCTTAGCATCTTCACCGGGAGGGGGTGGCTCTGTGGGCAGTGGACAGAGAGCAGGAGTCTGAGCAGGAGGGGAAGGGCAGAGCAGATGCTGCCTGGAGAGGCAGCTCCAAGACCGGTTTGTAGGTAACTTGCCGTGAGTGACCAGAGGTAACTGAGAGGACTTTGCAAGGGGGCTGAGGCCCTGCTATGGATGGAGACAGTGGAGCCATTGACCTCTGGGTCCTGCATGGATGACTTGAGGGCTAATGGTGGAGCCTGAAAGGCCTTCTGATTCCTTATTCTTGTCCCTTCATCACTCGTTTTAGAATGGAAAGGCAGAGAGAAAGAAAGAGAACCTGCATCTGGGAATAGCACCCAGCAGTGGGTGTGTTCTGGGACACTTGGGCCTCTGGGACTGTGCTGACTCTCTCAGGGGGCAGCACCCACATTAACTCCTAGGTGTTTCCAGACTACCACTGAGAGATAATACAATGATCCCAGCTCAATATAATCATTACAACATCTGTGCTCTGCATGCTTACTGTGTGCAGGCCTTCCACCAAGCATGTGAAAATCTCGCTCAGTCCTCTAGGAAGCAGGCATTATTTCATTTCTATTTACAGATGTGGACACTGAGGCCCTTGCCCACCCAGAGGCAGAGAGGCTAGAACCCTGATCTGCTGGTTTCTGGAACCCATGCTGCCTTCACACCAATGTGCGTCTGCACTCACCGCAGGCTTCCGTCCTTCCTTGAGCAGGGTTTTCCTTCTCAGAGGCCCCTCCATGGTGGGCACTGCTGCAGAGCTCCCCAGAGTACAGATGCATGGGCCGGTGGGGCTGCAGGAAGACCACCAGTCAAATATCACCCTGGAGAAGCTGAGGTCACATACTTTCTCACTCACTGGGGTCCTCACACCACAGTCTGTTGGCCAGTGTTCCCCACTGTGGAGTTCGTAACATTCCTGCAGGCTGGAGGACTCCACAGTGCCGGGGCAAAGTCAGGGAGTGGAGGAGGGCCCAAGGCCACAGAAGAGCACAAAGGAAGGTGGCCCTAAGCTCACCCACAGTTGTGAACCTCCCTTTCTGAGGGTTGTAAAGGTCTAGGTTTGGTAACCAAGTTCCTCATAACCCAGGCCCCTAGCAGCACTCCCCGTACTATTCTGATACCTTGGCTGAGGCTTCCTCCTGGCCTCTCCCCTGGGCTCACACCTGGTGGCAGATGGGGCCTCTACATATGAGGAATTCGGGTCCTATGCAGCCTTAGCTGTTGCTGCCCCAAGAAGACAAAGGGGACTGGGAAAGGGGAGGAAGGGACGGGGAAGGCACTCTATCACTCCCTGCACCTTCTTAGCTGGAGCTCTTTTCTCACCCTCTCCCATGGGAATTCAGGTGCCACCTAGAGGTGAAGACATCCAAATACACCACCAGCCCAGACCTCTCCCCTAAACTCCAGATCTGCACAAGCTCCTGCACATTGGATACCACCCCTCACCTGCACACTTCCACCTCCATTCAACCCATCATTGCCTTCCTCCAAACCTGTTCTTCCTTCTCATCTGGGTGAATGGCACCACCACTTCCCTGGCTTCTTGACCCAGTAACCTGGGAGTTTTCTTCTCTCTCCTACCACCCACAACTAATCAATCCCAAGGATTCTAAATATGCCCTGACTGTCCACCATAGCCATCTCAGACCCCCACCTAAGGCCAGAATTTGACCTTCCCTTTGAAGAACTGCCTGATGCTCTTGCTTAGTCTTTCTGAATCTACTCTTGTCATGGCCAGGATGACCAGGCATGTCACTACCCTTCTCTCCCCTCCCCTCCCCTCCCCTCCCACATCAAACCCCTTCCATGGCTTCCACTGGTTTGTCCCCCAGCTGGATGTAGCTCCAGACCACCTCTCCAGCCTCATCTTGTACCTTTCTCTTCTCTCTCATTTCTTAAAACATTGACTTTCCTTCACTCACTAATTCACCCTGTTTTTCCTACCTCACAGCCTCTATAGGCTGTCCCTTTGGCGAGAAATATTCTTATCAGTCCTACTCCTCTCCAACCATTATATGGCTACTTCCTGTAAATTTTCCCATCACTTCTTTGGGGAGAACTTCCTTATTCTCCCTAAGAAACTTTCTCTTCTTATCTCTCCCAGAAGACCCCATACCTCCTCTCTGGGACAATTAGTACACCTGGGTTTATTTGTTTGGTTCTTGTCTGTTTTGTAGCAGTAGCCTCTTAAAAGGAGAGACTGTGTCTGTCTCATTCAGCAGCCTGTAACACAAGGTTGGCATGCAATGAGCAGTCTTTAACATATGTTGAGTAAATGAATAAATGGGTACCTGTAGACACAGCTCCGGGTTCTGGGAGAATTCCGAACTGGAACCCGCCAATTGGGCCCCAGGGTGGCATAGAGACGTCCCCTGCTTCAGAGGGAATGGGTTGGATTTTAGCAACATGCTGGAAAGACCAGGTACTCCCGAAGGAAGCAAGAGCATCTTAGACTATGTGGTCATTAGCTCAGGCAGCCCTGTAGAGCAAAAGTGCCCCCCAGCTCCTAATCCAGTCTCCTTGGTCATGCTGCAAGCACGTCTGCAGCACATCTGGAGCGGCCAGGTCAGTGATTGCAACACCTTCCAAAGCCTCCATTTATTTAAGTACCCAAGTCTCCAGGTAATTGTTTCCTTAATTCATTATTGAATTTTCACCTATTTTCTAGTGTCAACAGGATGACTAAAATACAGGATAAACTCACTTACCACAATGCAAATTTGAGATGTTTAATAAAAAATGCCATTCAGCTCATATATCCCACAACAAGACCAAATTAAAAGCACATAGATACAGAATTGTGGGCAGTCTTGGACACTGGGCCTGGTGGGCATGCACAACATCACCATTCACCAGGACACAACTGAATCCCTCCGTTTGCTGCATCAACCCTGCAGTCTCCTTCGCTGGCTCTACCTAGTCTCCCATGAGCTTGCTCTGTGACCTGCTGCAGAGGAAAGTTTGCACTCCAGGATTTCGCCATCTGGCTTTTCTTTCACATGCAGCTACCCAGGGGAGTCTTTCCAGGGGAAGGTGCAAGATAATGCATTTAGGGGAATGCTTCCATTCTCTCCTCTCTTTAATAAAAAATGCCATTCAGCTCATATATCCCACAACAAGTGCACACAGGTACAGAATTGTAGGCAATCTTTTTTAGAAAAATCACTTCCTGTGTCCACTTCTCTCCAACTCTTCACCCTCGCAGCATGGTCAATCCTTGAACTACAGCTTTCTTTGCCCATTGGTCAGAAAACAATATAATGCAATTTATATAGTCTGACAATATCCAGACTTTCTTTCCAAATATTCCCCCAGTTCTCTACTGCTAGTTCTAGTAGTGTAGTGCCTAAGGCACTTGACTGCTCACCAGAAGGCTGGTGGTTGGAACCCACCAGCCACTCCTCGGAAGAAAGGTTGGGCAATCTACTTCCATAGTGATACCGCCTTGGAAACCCAAAGAGGGGTTGCTATGAGTCGGGGACGACTCAATGGCAAACAACAACAACAAGTTCTAGGTTGCTGCATATTGCTCTATGTCACAGACACTTGTGGGAAGAAGTACAGTGGTGCATCATATGTTGAATGAGTCCAGGGTTTTCGAAGAGGTAGCCGTGCTGCTTCCTTCCCCTCCATCCTTCAACCAAGGAGGAACCATTCTTGATGACTCTATCTGGGTCAACTGTTCAGGTGGGAGTCTGGCGACCATCTAGGATGACTGCTCCAGGACCTTCCCCTCTTGTCTCATCAGTTACTTTTCTTTTGGTGATGCAGTGCCACGGTGTGTGTGTGCTCAGCTCCCCAAGTCCTCTAATGTAACGCATCTTGGCCCTTTGCCCACCTCAATCTCAGTGTCAGATGATGGCCATATGCTGACCCTACTCCACAGGAGAGGCCCTGGTATGTTTGACCGCAAGCCCACTAGCCAAATTGCCTCCCCCCCTTCCATGCGGCACATGCCTAAGGCAATTGACTGCTAACCAGGTTGGTGGTTCAAACTCACCAGCCACTCTGCAGAAGGAAGATGGGACAATATACGTCTCTAAAGATTTACTACCGTGGAAACCCAATGGGGGTCGCTATGGGTCAGAAATGAGTTGAAGACAGTGGGTTTGGGTTTTTTGTTTTCTCTTCCATGCAAGAAAGAAAGCAGTGAGTGAATGTGACATACAGATAATGGTGACTTTCACCACCACTAACAGTTGTCAAGCACCTCACAAATGTATGTATCACCACAACAGGTGATAATCCTGTACTTAAGCAGTGCTGCTCAGGGGAGTCTGTAACATGCTGCCCCCAGGGTCACTTTTTTCCCCACCCCACCTTCTATGAGCTAGAAAGGGTCTGACAGTGAACCATTCTGTAGGGACATCCCTTGTGGCTCCATGGGCTGCTCAGAGGACACCTTCTCTTCATCTGATCCAGATTCTCACTCTGAGCTTCTGTCTGTTTAGAATTGGAAATGGAGTCTGCTTTCTCAGAGCTGGGTCCTCTGGTCCCTTCTCCTCCACCTTTCTTCTCATGAGTCTTTCTTCCCTGGGACCCCTGGACAGTTTGTGATGAAAGTGAAATATTCGCAATTACCAGTTCTTCAGACAGGGCATAGGTATGGGTATCTTGGGGCTCACATTTCTTAAAGTTCCTGAAGCCCTGTTGTGAGTCTAGGAGGTCAGGGAGCAAGGACAGGTCTTGGATAATCATTATGTTGGGGTCTCAGTAATTTTAGTCTTAGCAGGAGGAGGATCCCTATTCTTCTGTCTCGAGAGTACAGAGTCCCCTGGGAGCGGTGTACCTGTGGAAAGGTCCAGGTGATGCTGTTTAGTCTCTCAGCACTGCCACCTTCTTTCCATCATTACTTTTCCCCTTTTGAGACTGTCCATGCCTGTGTATTTAACAGGAGTTTGGCAGAAGTGACACTTGTCAATGGATAGCTTAAATCAGCACCTTCCAGCCAATCTGGTCTCTTTTAAACAGTCTCTCCTCAGGCTCCAAATGCACTGGGCTGGTGGGGGAGTGCATCCACTCATAGCCCATTGGGGTGTATCACAAACTGGGCAAGGAGTCATCAGTTATTGAATGACCATATGTGCTAGGACCTTACATTCATTATCTCACTGAAGATTTGTTTAAGTAATAGTAGCTTCTCTATAACAAGGAAACTGAGGGTCAGGGACATGAAGCTACTGAGCCAAGGCACAAGCCTCATAAGCCAGGCTTTAAACCTAGATCTGTCGTTCAACAGTCCAAGCTCTTAACCATCACGTGAGATGCTGCCTTGCAGGTGGAGGGAGAACCAGAAGTGTCACATGTGGTGGGAGCTCCCATAGTGAGCCATTAAGAGACCCTGTGGACTGGATTCCATGTTTTCCAAACACCAGCACCAGGTGGGAGGCTTCCCTGGCATTCTATTCTCAGAGGCACTGCCACTTGTAGGTATCTGTCTGTTGATCACTAAAGGGGTTTTGTCGGTTTCCGTGAGACTGGATGGCCACAAAATTCTTAAAGTAAGGATCCCCTGAGGTGGAGACACCTCCCAAGGCCCCCAGCCCCTTGGTTTCCCTGATGGGGTATTCTCCTGGTGGTTTGGCCTGACATTTACCAACTGCCTGCCCATGTTAACTAAATCCTTTCATGCAACCCTGTGAGAACTCAAAAAACTCACTGCCGTTGAATCGATTGCGACTCATAGCGACCCCTCTTTGGGTTTCTGAGGCTGTATCTCTACGGAAGTAGGTTGCCCAGTCTTCCTTCCAAGGAGTGGGTGGTAAGTTTGAACCACCAGCCTTCTAGTTAGTAGTCAAATGCCTTAGGCACTACACCACCATAGCTCCCATCCCTGTGGGAAGGACACGGTTCTCTTAAGCTGGTTAGAGGAAGAAACAGGCTCAATGAGGTGAAATCACTTGTCCCATCCCATCGGCCTGCCATTAGAGAAAGAGATGCGAGTGCTCACAAAGGCAGGCTTGCTTGCCTGCATGCTCCAAGTAGCATGTCAATCTAGCCGCCCCAGGCTGTGGAAGTCAATGCCCACTCTCCCTGGAGGCTGGCGCAGTGATGCTGGGCCTTGAAGGGCCCAGTAATGGTGAGCTTTTCCCTGGGTTTAACTTATAGGAGAAACAGGGTCTGGGTTGTGGTGTCTCAGAGTGAGCTCACTGCAGAGCTATGGCAGGATTGTGATGGTGCAGGGTGACTCTGGCTGGGCCCGGGTAGGCTAGCATTTGCACAGAGGAGCCGAATCTTCATATAGATTGAGAAGATGTTCAGGGTCAGAAAATGAAAGTAAACAGTCTCTAGTGAACCCCAGAAATCACTGGATTTTTCTGACTTATGTGGGGAGGGGACCCTCACTCCAGAACCACACTTTTCCCAGCATCATTCTGGGAACATGTCAAGCTAAACAGAGTATGTCTCAGGAATACCATTTCACTGTCCCCCTCTGGGCTGTATGGGAAGAGAGGAGTTGCAGTGGGTAACTGAGGCCTTCTGAGACCAGGAGCTCATGGGGGGAAAGGGGGAAACAGGCTGGCAACCAGGTTGAACATCTCAGTCCTAAAGGACGTACAAGATGATGATGAGTGTGATGATGATGATGGGTGCCAGACAATGTGCTAAGCAGTATTTGTTCATTATCTCATTTAATCACACAACATCAGAGACAGGTATCATTATTATCCTCAGTTTACAGATAAGGAATCTGAGGCTCTGGAAGTTGGAGTAACTTGCCCAAGGTCATGATGCCAGGAAGAGGAAGAGTGGGTGATGCTGTTGAGCCAGGGTCCTGCTTGGCCCAACAGCGTCATGGCATACTCAGACTAGTGAAGGCGAGTCTGAAGGCCTATCTTGCCCTCAATCATTTTCTAGATATACAGTAAGTTGTAGATATCTGGAGCTCAAATTTCATAAAGTCCCTGAGTGTCTATTGCTGATCTAGGAGGTAGGGGAACAGAGAGAAGTCTTGAAAATATTACATTGAGGCCTGAGAAATCTAAATCTTGGCAGAAGTAGAGACTCCACTCTTGTCTCAAGAGCACAGAGGATGTACCTGGGGAAGGATCCAGGTGATACTATCCATCAGCAGTGTCTACCTATACCAGGCAGTCCCATTAGACCATGACTTGGTCCTCAATACTTCCCAATGATTCAGCCTTATTTGCAGCAGGAATCTGCTGCCTAAAGTTCTATAGGTGACAATGCTTTTTGAAAGACCTGTGCTGCCCGTGGGAGCTCTGGTGGCATAGTGCCTGAGGCATGTGACTGCTAACCAGAAGGCTGGGAGTTCAAACACACCCGCCACTCCTTGGAAGGAAGATTGGGCAATCTACTTCCGTAGAGATACCACCTCGGAAACCCAAGGAGGGGTTGCTATGAGTTCCAATCA